TGATGATCTGTTACAAGACATGGTAATATACGTTTGAATATAATGAACTGACTATCTACTCCACCCATGTCGCGTGGGAACAAGGATTATTATATATTTGTGTTGTAATGCTGGAGGGTAGGTGATATTTTTATTCATTCCAGAAAGCGTCGGTTTAAGTAGGCTGTGATACTGCTTTACAGAGCAATCCTTTGAAGTTACCGTTGCTTTCAACTAAAAATTATTATAGAGGAGCGGGGTCTCAGACGAATTAATTCTTTTTTATTTAGTCGGCTGTATTCTGAAACAGGAACTAATAATTCTGTGTGCGTGAGTGCGTGTGGACGTTTCCCAGTAATTCCCTGTCTATTTGGTTATGAGGTCATATAAATACAAGCATGTCCAAACAAAATAACTCGACTACCAATTATTTGTAAACCTGGTTAAAATACAACAGGCAAGAATCCAATAATGGACATATGCAAACTTGGTCAATTAGATGCTGGATGTTCATTTGTTGGCATGGTTCCCTCTGAATTAAAATTTGGCAATGTTATAGTGTAATGACTGGGTACATTAAATTTACATGTCGTTGCTACCGGTTAGTAATAATGGTTCTTTGTGTCACTTTGATTAGAAAATAATTTGGCACAAAACGCTGCTTTGATGAATTACGGGAAAAATAAGTGAAAGATAGTTCATTGAATTATGACAACAGCTGTTGACACGTTAATGGTGATTTAGCACTTTTTCACCAAAATTGCCCGTTGGTTAGCCACATTAATTTGAATAAAAACATGGTGCTAATGTATCTTCATTTATACTATATATATACTAAGATTAAACAAATCTGTAAAAGTGTGTCGATCAGAAAAAGGGGAAATATGTAAAAACAAAATCACGAAATAAAAATGACGTGCACCTGTAACTCATTGTATAATCACCATACAAACTTTGATTAAAATCGTCATAGTCATCTCCAAGAAACAGCTGCTAACACGTTTGAGAATCAAACATTGCAAATGTTACACACAAAAATGGCCACAATTCGGCCATGTGTGCTCCGATCTTCAAATAAAAAAAATGGATCTGTAAAATATAACGTATTGTTTTTGTGTAAAGTTTAATGTGATCGGCCAATGAGTGTCTGTGATATGACTCAAATTAATAGTTCCCACTGTCGGATGGTGTCCGAACTGGGACTAAAAAGCAAAAGTAAGTATTTGACTATACATTCTATTTGACAACGTTCAAATTTATTGTTGAAATGGCAAAGTTAGGGCAATAGTTTAAAAATCGCTGAATTTGTGTGGTTTTGAGGTAAAATCCCATTACGTTGTAACGTAATAGCATTGATGTAAAAGAATATGCGATGCCACAACTTATATATTGCCTATATGCCTCCTTGTAAACCTCACCAACTGTATTAAATGCCACATCAAATAGAAACCACAAAAACGGCAATGGTAATGAGCCTCTGCATAGTCATGATGTGGTCGCTGAATGGCAAGTCAGTGATGTTGGTGATGGTGCATTA